TATGGGGACAAAATTTTCTTATATATTGGGGGTGGGCAGAAACTCTTTGTGTGATGCCTGTCTTGTGAAGGAGAGCTGTTTTCAGCCTTATAGTGTGACCTTTTCATTCATTATGTGTATTTGTTTTTGGCAATATTGTATTGGCAATATAACAGCACTCACAATGTCAATGCCCTGCTCTGTTTCACTGCCCCAGTCATAGGCTTGCCTCGTTCATTTTTCTTGGGCAGTGACGAAAATTGCTAAAGGGTAGCATGTGTCTCACAATACCTCCTAGTCCAGAGTCTAAATGACTTCTGTTAGACATAATGAGACATGGGAAAGGGCAAGAAGAAGAACATCTGCATGTGTGGGTTGATGGTGAGGAGAGTGAACAAGACTTGTATTTTTGGGGGTGAATATCTGTTATGACAATGATGGAAATGTTGTCATTGTCATCATAGTAGGAGATGATCCTGTGCATTACTATTTCCATAGTGTGATCTGTAAGGCAAAACATGTTTTTTCTGCTTACTTTAGATACCCAGTTCTAATTCAGAAAATACATTTTCTAGAACTTGTTCCTCCACATGCCAGGATAGTATTTGGTCCTCATTCCCCATCTCCTCTTAAACTGTTCCAGAAGCCACTTTTTGGTGGAATTCATTAACAGAGAGCAGCACCAGCAAGCACAGCCAGCTTGGCACCCACCACACCTCAGGCATGCTGGGCTCATATGAATAACTCTTTCTTTGTACAGATGAATGATGACCAGAGTCCTTCCACCCTCAACCACTATGTTCACCTCCAGGAGAGGCCAATCAAGCAGACCATCACCAGGTAAAGGTGACTAGCAGGAGTTTAGCCAAGGAAAAGAGAGTGTGTGTATACTTTCTGTGAAATAGGCAATGTTGTGCTAAATAACAAAGAGAAGCATAAAGAGAAAAGGTTCCATATTGGAGCTCTTGATTGAGATTAATAGTGTTAATACTACTCAGGCGTCATGGGTAGGAGGGGTAGCTCAATAAGAGCCTGTGCTTTGCATGTAGATGCCACCAGCTTCAACCTATGGCATCTTCAGATGGGGCTGGGAAATGTTCCTGACTAGTACCCTGGAATGCAGCTGCCAGCCAGTGATGCCAGTTCTGAGCTGGGTAGACCAGTGGTGCTAAACTGATAAGAAATGGAATACAGCAGTGGTTCTCAAATATGGGGTGGGACTCCTGGGGGGAATGAAAGTTGCTCAAAAGGATGTGAGACTTGGAGATCCTAATCCCCCCCCCCCTCCTCTTATTCCCAAATGTTTTCTGTCCTGGAGGTTATATGTAAAGTTTATATATGTTGAGTGTTGAATTTACTCATATAAAACTGTTCTAATTTGATGTTATTTTCTTATCAAATGTTTAAATATGAATATGCAAGAATTGGAAAATGAAAATATGCACACTGAACAGACAAAATATTTTTATTCATATACTATGTTCAGCAAGGGGCATTGGGGTCTGCACGTAGATAGATGTAAAGGGGGGTCACAAGGGTAAAAAGTTTGAGAACCACTTGAAAAGAGGCCTTAACCTTAACAGTAGATTGGTATCCCCATGTGGCAAATGTAGTTTCCTATTTCCACTTTTTATGCTGAGCTGTTTGTTGTTGTTTCTTCCAACAGGCAGGCCCTGAGCCTTCTCTTTGATACCTTCCACAATGAGGTTGATACATTCCTAGCTGCTGAGGTAAGATTAATGTTGTAATGGGAGTAGGGGAAGAAGAGTGGGACAGGGTGGTAGTCCTGGTATCAGTGTTTGGTAGGGCCAGGTCTTGATGCCCCCACACAACAGGAAACCCTTTAAAAGGACATTGTGATGGAGCCCCAGAGGCATCATGAAAAAATTAAAATGACAAGTACTAGCTGTAGTTCCTGTAACATCTTTTTTCCTGCTTCTCCCACCTTCCTGCCAAATGTAGAGAAAGAAAAGAGCTACTAGCACCCAGGATGGCCTTTGTGGGAATTTGCTGCTGGCACCACACTTTGGAGCCCACCCAGAGGCAGCATGTACTGAGAGCCCTATCCAAAGAGATGCTTTTTAATTGAAATAGTATTACTAGATGTACATTTACAATTTTGTCATCTTTAGAATATAAAATAAAGCATGATGCTGGTGCTGAGAAGGTCAGCAGCTTTGCAGCAACCTTCTTAACCTACTCTCAGCTCCAGTTTCTCCACCATAAACCATGCTGTTCTCCTCATAAAGTGAACCATTTTTTCATGCTTGCTGGACCTACTGCTTCTAATTCTTGCTGTGGCTTGCTTTCAACAACAGTCTGCTCTACCAGCAACAAGAAAGAAGCTTATGGATTTACAGCTGCATCTGCTTTCGTATAATAGTCTAATATCCAATAACAGAGCCAGCATGGTGTAATGGTTTGAGCATTGGACTAGGACACTGGGAGACCTGGGTATGAATCCCTGCTTGGCCATGCAGAAAACCCCATGCTAGGTTCACTTTAGGGTCGCCATGAGTTGGAAATGACTTAAAGGCACTCAATAACAACAAACCATATCTTCTGACCATGAAAGTCATTGTGAATGGAGCTGATGGGAATTATACTTCAAGGCTGGAGCCTTATTAGTGCACTATGTCAATATAAGTACACTAGCATAGGTAGGGGCAGCAGAAGAAAAAAAGCTGTGGGCTCAGCAGATGTGAATAAGTAAGGCACTGAAGAAACAGATTGCAAGTCACACTCTCTTAGCCTCAGAGGAAGGCAAAGGAAACCCCCCCCCATCAAACAAAATTCACCAAGGAATCCTTGTGATGGGTTTGCCTTAGGGTTTACTTAAGTCAGACATGAGTTGAAAGCACACAGCAGCACCAAAAATACCCAATGTACTTTTACAAGGCTTGCAGGTGCTGCTGAATATTCTGAAAATAAATATCAATCATATAAAAAATTAAATTGAAAACATAGGCTAGAATGGACATATATTACAAATATATTTCTCTATTGCAGTTTCCTAGAGGTCTTCCTCAAGTCACCTCATTAGTCACAAATTATGTTTGCTCCCTGCTTAGGGGTGATGAGAATTTTCCATCACTGGGGTTAGGCCTACATATAACATAAATGTCTTGAAACCTGGCTTCCCCTCTCCATCTCATCTAAAACTCACTGCTTGCTTGTTTACTTATCTCCTTCCTCATTCCAGTCTAGAATCCTCCTTTGCATGTCAGATTTCCCAACATAAAGTGATGGTGGCCAGCCACAAGTGTGTTTGGGATTGCAGCCAAGAAGTTGGTCTACATAGTGACATACATTATCAGCCAGAGCAGAAAACAGACTGGGCGTAGTGAACTGATTCCCCAGGTTCTTTTTTTGATATCGTCAGCAGCTTTTGATAGCAAGTTCCTATGCAGCATATCCACTCTTTGTTTCAGTTTCCCTTCCCTTGTGATAAATGCAGTAAAAATATTTTTTTTTTGCCTGCTTTTAATAAAACCTTTGTGAAGGGTTAGCCTCCAGTGCCTATGCCAACTTTAGAAAATATATATATATATATTCCTGTTTAGAAACTAGAATATTATTTGTTCCTTAATACAAAGATTATAATGGATATTTCTAACTTTGTAAATACTGAAGCTAAAAAGAGTAAGCAGGAGACTTTGTACCTATTAAACTGCTGTTCTTCCAGTTATCTATCCAGAGTAAAGGATAGCTAGACCTTTATATTTCCATAAAATAAGCTCCCATCAGAGATACAATCAAATTTAATTTCCTGAATTCCACCTGGGAAGTGCAAGAATAGTATATCTTTAAACATGCATCATTTTTTTCATATCTGACAATAGTATGCTAAAATTATTTTGATCCCCTTTGTTTAACAATGAACAGCAAAAAGAAGCTGCTCTGTATGTGATTTCCTCGGAGTGTAGCATAAGCCTTTCTGGACTGGAAGTCAGCAAATGCATGGATGGATTAGCAAATAACACTTTGTGTTCTCTCTTTCTCTTTTCTTCTCTCTACATCTGTCTGTTAGTTAGAGCTGAACTGTCTGTCTATGTAATAATGCAGAAGACAAAGGAATCATTAGTAAACCAACTGGAGCAAGAGCTAGTTTTAGCTGCCTGCCTCACATGTGAAAATGTGCTTAAGATGATGATCCATCGTTAATTTCTTTGAAAATGGGAAGGGGGAGTGAAACACAAACAGCAAACAAATTCAGGTGTTTTAACTTTTTTAAAAAAACCACATTCAAGAGGAAACTCATAAAAGGTTATCCAGAATATCTCTGCAAACATGCATAATTTTTTCGCATCATAGTTCTCAAGGCATATGTAGAATATGGAAAATCTCAAGATTTTAAATTTTAACATAATCAAGGTACGAGATCCTGTGATTTTTGAACAGGACAAAAAAGGATTTGTAGTTGAATTGTGTTTGCTAATATCTCTTAAGAATTGTTCATGAGGGAGATTACACTTGCCTCACAGCAACTCTATTGGCTACTACAGTACTTCTTTCCCATGATTCTCAAAAGCTGTACTCCGAAGACTTCTGCATCTTTCCCCATCATCCTTTTAGTTTCTAGTTCCCATATAGTTGTATTTCTTCCTGTTCTTTACTACCACCATCTACCTGATCACAGTATCCCACAACCTCTTTCTAGGGTTGTGACCTCAATTGATTTAAGGGATCATGTTTTGTCTTAAGTAGTGTGCATAAAGGAGAATTGTAAATTCATTTTTCTGTAGTTCTGAATGGTGACTTCTTCATATTGTGCAACCCATATATTGCAGAACCTTGTGACTTCTTTCCAATGGACTACCCGTATTTTTTAAATTTTATGTATAGTGAACAATAGTGTCCCTTAGTGGCAATTCCATCTATATATTCTTGTGTTGTTGTTGTGCGCCTTCAAGTCATTTCCAAATTATGGAATTGGCAAGATTTGTTGAACAGGGGTTTGCCTTTGCCTTCTCTGAGGTTGAGAGTGTGTGACTTGCCCAAGGTCACCCAATGGGTTTTTATTCTTGAGCAGGGAATCGAACCCTGATTTTCAGAGTCATAGTCCAACACTCAAACCACTGTACACCATGCTGGCTCTCATATTCCTGTGTACCCAGCCTAAAATTATATTGGTAGAAGGAACTGGCAATATCAAATGGTTTTTTAGCTTCCAGGAAACTTGGTCTTTGTCTTGGAATGTGCTTGAACTCAGTGAATGAGCAGAATTTAGACTTCTGAATCCTTTTGTCTTGCTCTTAGCTACAGAGGTGATGGCCAAGTTAAGAAGGAGAGGAATTGTCATGGACATTGATTAGATTTGGAGAATTAGCAAAGTGAGAGAGCTCTTTCATTAATTATTGAACAGTTCTTTAAACTGATTGGAGCTGGTAGACTCGTCTTGATGTTTTCTTTGGCCAAGGTCACAAAAGATGCAGGGAACCTGCCTGCTGAGTAGTCAGCTGGTCATTAGGTTCAGTAAGAACATGTGTTGAAACATATTAAGAAAAAATAGATCCTATGCTCTGGCTATATTTTAGCAGCAATTACTGGAAACGGTGCCTTATGAGGAACGACTTAGGAACATGGGTGTGTTTAGCTTGGAGAAGAGAAGACTGAGAGGTGACATAATATCCATCTTTAATAATAATAATAATAATAA